AGGCAGGGCTGGACCTGGCAGGGGCAGGGCTGGCAGAGCGCTGGATGCTGAGCCGGCTGAGCCAGGCCGTGACGCTGTGCGATACCGCCTTCCATGCCTACGACTTCCCGGGCCTCACCACGGCTGTCTACAGCTTCTGGCTATATGAGCTCTGCGATGTCTACCTGGTGAGCCGCGCTTGGGGGGCATGGCTTGGAGGTGGGGGCGGGGGCAGGGCATATGGGGTTAGGGGTGGGGCCACTGGAGATGGAGGGGATGAAGGTTGGAGATAAGGCTGAGGGTGGGACCCAAGGGGGTGGAGGGAGGGGCTTGGAGCATGAAGGGAGGGGGTGGGACCTGTGGGCAGGGGGTGGAGCCAGCAGGGATGGGTGGAGGGTCTATGGAGCTGGGGCCAATGTGGATAGAGGGAAGGCCCTGGCAGGAGGTGGGTGCAGCCATGGGGGGTTTCAGGGTGGGGCCTAAGGAGGACAGAGGGCCCCACACCCCTGTCTATGGAGAGGGGCCCATGAAGGGAGGGAGCAGAGAGTGGGGTGCTGCGCGCTCCCCACCCTATTTGTCTGACCCGTGTTCCCCGCTTGCCCCACAGGAGCTGGTGAAGCCAGTGCTGGCAGAGGGGCCAGAGGCAGGGGCAGGGGCAGTACAGGCCACGCTACACACGTGCCTGGATGCTGGCCTGCGCCTGCTGGCCCCGCTCATGCCCTTCGTCACTGAGGAGCTGTTCCAGCGCCTGCCACCTCGGCCCCCTGCCGCCCCCAGCCTCTGTGTGGCCCCCTACCCCAGCCCCCAGCAGGTACTGCCCCAGGGGAGGGGGATTGTGGGTCCAGAGGGGCACCTAGGAGGGGGAGTGGGTCAGGAGTGAGGGGTGCCAACAGGACTGGGCAGGGGTGCTGCTGATTAAGAGTGAGGGGCAGACGCAGGGCTGGTCTGGCAGGGTGGGAGTGAGGGCCTGGGGGCTACGGGTTGGGAGTGAGGGGCACTGTTAACCCCTTCTCGCCACCAGTACTGCTGGCAGGACGCTGAGGCTGAGGCGGCCATGGAGTTTGCGCTGGGCATCGTCCGGGCTGTGCGCTCCCTGCGGGCTGACTACAACCTCACCAAGACCAAAGCCGACTGTAGGTACCAGGTGGGAGCAGGGCCAGGGAGGCGGAGCTCTCCTGTGCCCTGCCCCCTTGACCTCTGATCCCTCTCTTGCTCTCCCACCCTTTCTCCCCCAGGCTTCCTGCAGTGCCGTGACCGGGGCACGGCCCAGCTGGCAGCCCAGGTCTCCGGCTACATCCGGACTCTAGCCTCGTGCCAGGCCGTGCAGACACTGGGGCCTGGCGAGGCCGCCCCTGGCGGCTGTGCTGTGGCCATCGCCTCTGACCGCTGCACTGTCCACCTGTTACTCAAGGTCAGCTCATGGAGGCACTCAGACATCTGGGAGGGGTTTTGGAGGGGAATGGAGGGATACCCAAGTATCTGGGAGGGATGCATGGGGGCACCCAGGTATCTGGGGAGGATGGGCAGTGCAAAGTCAGATCCAGGTGTCCTGGAGGTGGGAAGTGGAGAGTGGGACCCAGTGTCCAGGAGGGGCCTGTTGGCACCTTGTCGAAGGGGGGACCCAGGCATTGCAAAGGGGCCCTCCAGTGGGACCTAGGTGTCCAGGAAGGGATGGCAGGGGGACCCAGGTGTCTGGAAGGAGCACATGGAGGGACCCAGGTGTCCGAGTGGGGCCTGTGGGGGACCTGGGGAACGGGGTGTGGTGGTGGAGATCAGGACCCAGGTATTGGGGGTGGGGGGCAGTAGAAAGTAGGACCCAAGTGTCCAGGGTCCAGATGGAGAGCAGACAGAGGTGTCTTGTGGGGTGGGGGGCGGGCAGGGGTAGGGTGGGGAGAATGAACCCAGGCATCTGGGGCTGGCGCTGCAGGCAGGAGCACAGAGAGCAGACCCAGGCATCCATCTGGGACTGGTTCTGGGGGTTATGGAGAGTGGACCCGGGCATCTGGGACTGGTGCTGGGGGATCTGAGAAAACAGGACCTAGGTGTTTGGGTGGGGGGTATGAGGAGTGGACCCAGGCATTGGGAGGTGGCACTGGGGTGGGGTGGGGGGTGTAGCATGTATAGAGAGTGGGACCCAGGCTTTTGGGGTTGGGGTGTAGCATGCATGGAGGGTGGGACTCTGGTGTCCGGGCACTCACCTCCCTGTTCTGACCCGCTAGGGTCTGATCGATGTAGAGAAGGAGGTGGGCAAGCTAGAGGGGCGCCGGGCAGAGCTGTTACGGCAGGGGGGGGGGGTGGGCGGGGCGCGGGGGGCG